CTTCCTTCCTTCCTTCCTTCCTTCCTTCCTTCCTTCCTTCCTTCCTTTTTAATATCACAGAATGGGGAATCTGTCTTTTCAATTATAAATGTTGCAGTACATTGTAATGGTGCAGTATAAATAAATAATGTTATTCTTCACAGATCAGTAAAACTGATAGTGATTTTGGCATATATTTCCCCAAATGATAGTGAACTAGGCTGCCTTTAAGGCAGCTGTGCTGTCACAAAGGCTTAACGATTGACCTGGCTATAGCCAGAGGTGGTATAGAGGGTATAGAGGTGGCAATTGACTGGTCAAGCCTGGTCAAAACATCTATAGGTGTTTTGTTACTAGAGTTCTGAATAGGAGCACCTGCCACCTCAGCTACTGTGGGTGATGTTGCTGACTAAAAAAATGGAGAGAGGAAGGAAGGGGGGGAGGAGGGAGGGAGATAGAGATCTGTATCAAATGGAGTGAATGAAGTGGCGGAGAATAAAGTGAGAGAATTACTAGTAAGTGGATGGACCCGTTGTGAGTTCCAGATCAGGAAGGAGAAGAAACATCCATAGATCGCTTTCCTGGAAGAAGGGAGGTGAAGACCTAAGGGTATGAGAGTTCCACTGAAGATCCAAGTTGGGAAGGAGGGACTCGTATCTAAGAAGGAGTGAAACCTTAATTGTGAGTGGCGAAGCCTTAATATTGGGGAAGGACTAAGCAAGAAGACCCTGAGAGAGTGTGAATTTGGGGCAGAAGGAGTAGGTAAATTTGGCAGAATAGGTACAGGAGAAGATGAAGCCTTGCTGAATACACTACAATAAAGTTCAAGCCCATTCCTTTATTTGTAGTCTTGTTAAGCCCAGGAATGCAGGAGGAAGTTGGGAGTGAAAGGGGGAGGAAAGTAAAGGATTTAGGAGGAAACGAGACACTTAAACACAGGGATTCTTGAGTGGCCCCCAGGGGGAGTCTACTACGTGACAGATTTGCATCTGCTTTCATGATGAAAGTACCTAATTATGGCATTTGATCATATATCATCATCTTGATGATCATCATGATTTCTTACACTGTATATGTTGCTGGCCTCTCCAATCCCAAACCAGTACCTTGCTGCCAGTTATTGTTCATAATAGGCACACTACAAAAGGACCTCTGCTCCCTGCTGAGGTTGCATATCAATTCATATAATCCTCAGAAATCCAATATTAACAAAAGCCGCAAAAGGAAAACAAGGAACACCTGAAGCGCCACACATTTCTCACCACTTCCATGTAGCATTCACAAATTTTGTTTTTCTGAAACTTTCACAAAATCCTATTAAAATCAGGAATCAACAGCTGATGCCATGTGGCCTTGGTTGGTAACAAAAAGCTCAGAATGGCTGGATGTGGTTAGGCTTTAAATGGGAAACATCAGAAAATCTCAGGTGTCAGGCTAAAGAGGGAACTTTTATACAAAAACATCTCATAGAAGGAAATGGCAAATATTTCCATTTTATTGCTAATAACACAATATTAATATATCCATCAATAGGAATTGAGCTTAACCTTTGGTAGTGCTCCATTTATTAAAATCAGAGTTCATTAGATATTAATATTCTGGATTTAGTGGCTTAATGCACAGATCAGCACAATATAATGCAGACATTCATTATTAAGCCATTCAGGAAATATCCTGAATTCTTCAAAATACAAAAACAAGAAGTTCAGATTTTAGCATTGTTCCATGAGAGTCACTGAAATGGGGCAGTTTGTGTACAAATGTTAAGTTTTGAAATATTTCCTAACAAGCAATGTTGCAGAAATAGCCTTACTAATGGGAAAATATATTATTTCATATCCTTCAATATAATATTTTATTTTACTTTTTTAAAAGATTTTTTTAAACCCCCCTTTTATTATTTTTAATAAATAACTTCAAGATGGTAAACATACCCAATACTTCTTCCTCTTCCAGTTTCCCCACAACAGCTCCCTGATGTGTGTTGGGCTAAGAAAGAATGACTGGCCCAAAGTCACCCACCC